TTTTATTATAATTCTTCACAAATTTTTTATTAGCCTACAATCCTAGGCTATCATTCCATGTTCAAAAAATCTTCCTTATTATCTCTCCTTGAAGATTTTTTGCTACAGGGTATCGCTTTTGCTGCTTCTGTTTAAGGTAGACCTGCTTGTTTTATATTACATGTGTTGCAAGATCGCCGAGAAAATGGTAAAGAAACATATAATTCTATAGCCCAATTCACGCCAAAGGAAATACGAAAAACTTTATTCCAAGCCTTTAATTGCTTAGTAAGAATACTGGCCGTCATGTTTATTCGACGGTCGTCTTGATAAAGACGCAATAACGGTCCATTTGGAAAAGGTTTTAGAATGGCTTAACGTAATACGGGCAGTCTTTGCTGAAGCAAGAAACTGAAGAAAAGCTCTAAGTACCAAAGAAAAGATTTCTTTCAGGTTGAGAATTTCTTCGACATATTCGAGGAGATTTAAAGCGTGTTTGGCCGATAAAACATGGAATGATGAAACAATTGAGCGGAAAACAAAAGTTCTAAATTTCATTTTCTTCCTCAATGCCAGCGTATAATTTATGAAAATTGATTTATTCCGCTCCACAAAAATGCAAATTATTTCTTGCAATTATGAAAAGTTGGTATGTAATTAATGTCCTTAGACTGACATATTTTTTTGAGTTATGTTCTGAAGGCTTTATTAGCTTTTCAAACTTTTACAAGCTTTTTAAAAGGCCATCAAAATTTATGTACTTATAGGACAAAAGAATTTGATGTATACATATTTCATTGAATGTGATATTTGAACTTTTGCGTTCATATCAGATATGTATATTAAAAAGTTCAACTTGAAGAGAAACTGAAGCTTCTTGAAAAACTTTTATATGCTTGACTCTATTTTTGTAATATCTAGGACAAAATCCATTTCCCATTTACAACGAAAGCTAAAGTATAAGTTTGTATCTAAAGATACTTTCGAATTTTCGCATATAAATAAGACGGAGCGTTATGTTGGCAACATTTCCGTAACAAAATCGCGAATGTCAAGATGATGATCACAAATTTGTGATATGGGAATAAAGCGAATTTTATAAATGTCAACTCGTATCGATCCGTAGGTGTAAACATTTGTGTAATATGTATGTGTTTGTATGGGCTTAAAACATATTTTCCTTCGTTACAGCTCACAGTAAATTTGTGGTAACGCGCATATTACTTTTGTGCGAAAGCATGCAACACTTACAAGAAAATCAATTTTTTTTTTCACAATCATTTTCTCAATCGATTAGCGTTTGTCTGTCTATATGTCCGTTTGCTCTGTTGTTCATTTTAGGTTAGGTAAAGACATTTGAAACATCTTGACGAAATTTTGTATAATAGTTTGTTTTGGTCCAATCACGAACGTTGTTGAAAATAGATTAGATTGGACTACTCCCCATAGCTTTATCTTAGAAAGGTCGTTAGGCGAAAAATATTTTTCGGCAAAAATTGTTGAATGATACTATTTTGCTACATTAAGGTGACGTGAAAAATTCGAACTGCATTAATCGCCTTCCACAGAGTAAGAAGTAAAAGTAAAAATTTTTCAATTGTGGAACAAAATAAACGCGCACAGTGCTCATTAGGAAATGCATGGCCAGGAGTATTATTTTTTAAATAAAATTATTGTAGGGATTAAGGATCTTTGTCACTTGTGCGAATACGTAAATAAGCAGTGCGGTGGCGTCTGGAACTCGGCAAATGAAAGGGAAATAGACGAAGAACCACAACCGATACTAACCTGGTGAGGTTTTTTAGACCGTCTGTTCTCTAGTTTTCCGAAAATGCTATCAGTTCGGCCGTTGCAATAAACGGGTGTATTAACGAACTCATATTGACCGATCTTTTTGGCCTGAAGCCAATGTCACGAATTTGTGCGCTTTATTTTCAGCAGGAGGCCACCACCTTCCATGGAGCTTGTGGAATAGATATTGAAGTATTGCTTGCTTCGTTTAAAATGAAATCTCTTTGGTGGAGGATCGTATATATACGTATATCTCCGATCGCCTGTCCGCTGTTTTATTATTTTGTATTAACATGACTGGAGGAGATGTTGAGAATCAAACAATTCGGTCATATCCGAGTATTATTTTTTGTTTTTTCTTGGTGTGTCTTTAGTCACTTTCTGAGCCCCGATAAAGATAGTTAGCTCCATAAAATCTTTGGGCCCAAATCTCAGAGCGTTAAACACTTTGTAAGTAGCTGTGTGTGCTAACTATTTCGGCTTGTGTTCGCTTTTATTACTTTAAGCCTTAAGTATTTTTTTTATTAATTTTTTGGCCAGAGAAATAAATTGTAAGACCTTAAGTCTTAAAGCACTAGGATCTAAGTACTATCGACCTTATTGCGATCCCTACTGCACTTGAGATTCGAACCTATCACCATTGAGTTGTTAGTGGAGACCCTATGCGTACTCGGCCTATTCGGCCTAATATATTGTTTACTTTATCTTTGCTTCTCGCTTCTGTCTAATTAAAAATTCTTTACAATAATGTTACAGTTTAAGCTTTAGACTTATGTTTGTTGGTTTTTTTTTTTACGTTAAAAAAAAATAAAAATAAAATTTTTTGCTTTGAAACTGACACTACTTACTTTGAACTTTGCTGCG